TATGTATATTGTGTAATGATGCTCTCAAATAAATGAGAATACTATATGTGTTTCATATGCATATGCCATGATATTCTGTAAATGATGTATGGGTGCCAGATGTCGCGGATGACAACGGTAGCTTTGTATAGCAGTGTTGGCTGGGGAAAGTAAACCATTGACTGTTGCTGGGGATGAAGATAGTAGTTTCTCAACTTTATTCAGAATGTCTTTGCTGAAGATTCCCGCTTTCTGTTTGAGGACACTCTATTGAAGGTGTTCGACTTCTGCTTGGGGATTAAAGAATTCTAGGAAAACTAGTCATTCATCGTTCTTTTTGAAGGATTTGATTCTTATGTACCTTGACTGGGGACAAAAGAGATGGATAATCCTCGGATGTGTTGTCTGACCAAGTTTCAGATATGGATGTCAACTCTTCTAGGGAGGACAAAGTTAAATGACATCTGGTCGGGGAAGAGAATCCTGTCGGGGAATTAAAATACAGGAGAAATAAACATCGCTGGGGAAATAAACCTGTAGAATGTGTTGAGGAAATAATATCTGATGGGGATCTGGATTTCATAGGTTGCGCTGAGGAAGTTTCCACCGTATTCTTGGGAAATGATCAAACTTCCTTATCTGCTAGGGGGCCTATCAGGGAAGGTGATTATGTTGAGCTATCTGTCATGGATATAGAGGTGAATCACTGGAAGATACCCCAATTTCTGTCTAATGGCATGTTAGATTTTTTGGGTAGTATATCTTCGTCGGGGATGAGCTTGTGAAGATAATTCTATAGAGATAGTTCCGTGGAGATTTTTCTATGGAGATTTATGGATGACTCGAACATTATCCCAATTCCTAGAGTCTTTATTAAATGCTAATCCTATTTTTATGCATATATTTTGTTAATAGTAACCATGTTCAAATGCATATGTTCATTCAATGTAATCATTGGACGTTTTTGCAAACAAAACAGAGAAAGTAAAACAATTTTGAATTTTAAATCTAATTGCATTGATTCTGAAAGTTTTCCTATAAGCAGGAAGTTTTATAAAAAGATACAAAAAACCTAGTAAGAGGAATTCGTCGTAAGAATGAAGAAAGGGTACAAAGAAAAACAAGGAAAAACAACTACGTGGAAACGATCCCATCAAGTTCCAACTCTTCTATTTCCCCCATGTCATCAGGCATCTCATCGCTTACTATTGGAAGAAGATGATTGAATTGTTATATACCGTTTGAACTTGACGCTAGTAATGAAGCTGGATGTAAGTAGATAGGTGATCCAATGGGACATAGTCGTACGCTTTAATCCCTAACTTTTTCCTAGATCGCCCTTTCGGGTTTTCAGTTCATCGGGATATCCTTTTTTTGCCCAAGCCACCTTTTCAGGTTTTCGACTTGACATATTTATAATATTTATATATATATCCCTTATTTTTATCCCGAACCCATTAGGTTCGCCGTGATTCCCTTACTTTTGTTTAGGCTTGTTAACCTAGCGGGTCTCTTTTAAGCATAGTATTTTTTGACTATGTCCGTGTTCATAGGGTGTGGAAAATCTTTATCGTCCATGGTAGTAAGTATCATACCACCACCATAAAATATATTTTTGATCAAAAATGGCACTTCATATGTGGGAGTCTATTTTCCCCTAGGATCACCTTGTGGAAGGATAATGCGCTTTATTACCAAATCTTCAGCCTGGTATACCCGATGTTTAACTTTCTTATTAAAGGCTTTAATCATTCATTTTTGATACATGTGACTATGACAAAAAACCACAAGAATTTTTTAATCGATCAAATTTATTTGATCCAGTCGAGTTTGAGTCCACTCGTCTTCATCTAAACCTGCGTCTTTCATAATCCTTAGTGAAGGAATATGGACTTCAACAGGTAAGACAACCTTCATACTGTAGACTAGAGAGAACAAGGTTTCTCCAGTTGATGTACATACAGAAGTGCGATAACCATGAAGAGAAAATGGTAACATCTCATGCCAATATTTGTATGTCACTGTCCTCTTCTGCAAGATCTTCTTGATATTCTTGTTGGCAGCTTCCACTGCTCCATTCATCTTTGGTCGGTACGAAGAAGAATTGTGATGCTTATACATAATTTCATGCAGAGTTCCGTGTTCATAGTATTGTTAAGATTGGTACCATTGTCCGTGATGATCCTTTCAGGGATGCCATACCGATAGATAAGGTTGTATTTAATGAACCAAGCCATAACATTCTTGGTAACGGAAGCAAACGAGGCTGCTTCAACCCACTTTGTGAAGTAAACAATAGCGACCGGGATGAAACGTTGCCCATTGGAAGCAATAGGCTTAATCTCTCCAATCATATCAATTCCCCATATTGCAAACGACCAAGGAGCAGTCAAGACATTCTCGGAGGCACATGTACTTTGTCACCATAAATCTGGAATTTGTTGCAAGTTCTGGAATGATGATGGCAATCAGTTTCCATATTAGACCAATAACCTGCCCTTAGAATCTTCTTAGCCATTGTATGCCCACTGGAGTGAGTACTAAAGACTCATTCGTGCATATCTTCCATGTTTTTCTTAGCTTCCTTCTTGTCTACTGAAACAATCGACTGAACAATCAACTGATAATAAAATCAATGAAGTCGCCATCGAATGTTTTTTATCCCATAAGAAGGGAAAGTTAAACATCGAGTAAACCTGAGAAGGGTGAAATCACGATTAAACGACCGAGAGATCGAGTAAGGGAGTCTGTTACGCGAGGGGAAGGTATTAGCACCCCACACACCCGTAGTACTCTATAATATCCACTCTTATTGTATATCTTATGGGTGTGTTAGGATCTATATCTAGGCTATACATGGAATGCATGCAAAAGAAAGGAGAAAAGAACGTAGGGAAAATAAAAGTTGTGCTTGTTCGGGCCCTACCCCAATGCCTACGTGTCCCTTTTAAGGAATCAGAGCAGCCGTAGTTCGACTTCAAATGTTTTTGTTGGTTTGTATTTTTTAATGAACAATATTACTTTCTCCTTCTGCTGCAGCTCGACCTTTGGAGACTCACGCGTCAGCACAAAAGTGAATTAATATGTCCTTTTGAAAAGTTTGAAAGCAAAGCCCGAAGGCGTAAAAGAGTTTGTATCGGTTGATATCTTTTACCTTAAAGAAGTATTTAGAAGTTGTTAGATGTTTTATGCATTCTTCAAGAAAAAAAGGAAGTTTTTGTTTTAAATGCAAAGATGCAAAAGAAAAGAAAAACATCTAAGGGAGACTAACCTAAATATATCCCTAATGTTATCATACAATGATTAATCCTAAAGTTGAGATTTGAAGGGAAATCTCTACCCTATATTGACATGATTGGATAATAATCCTAATGTCTATCTCAAATCATCATCTATAGATGAATCAAGAAGTCCTAAAGGAGCATAGCAAGGGTCTATCACTTAAAACTATGTCTATCTCGAATCATTATCTATGGTTGAATTGAGAGCTCCTAAGGGAACATGCCGAGGGTATATCATCTCAAAACATGCACACAAATACAGAATCAAACAAACAAGCCAATAAGCTCAAGAGAGATAGCTCAAGAGAGCACACCTAGAGAGATCCTATCTAGGCTAGAATACCAAAGAAAATCTAACAAAAACTATCCTACGGGGAACATGCAATGAGAGCGAAGTCATGATCTTAATTTCTAAAATGAGTGACTCATCGGTCAATAAGAAATAAAGGAAAGAAATAAAATCCTATAGGGAGCATGCACTGAGAGCGAAGTCGTGATCTCAATTTCTAAACTGGGTGACTCATCGATCAACAAGAAATTAAGGAAACAGATAAACTCCTATAGGGAGCATGCACTGAGAGCGAAGTCGTGATCTCAATTCCTAAATTGAGTGACTCATCGATCAACAACCAAGGAAACAAACACAAGCACAACACATATATCAAATGAAGTGCGGAATGCCTGCTACAGGTCTTTAAACAGTGACTTCGAGTGCACACTCTTTATTTCCTGCTTCCTACTTCACATGATTTCTAGAAAGTGATAAATGCTGAAATGAGATAAAAAGGGAAAATACCAAACAAATATTAATCTGTTGCAACGCCTATCAAAACAAAGAAACCCGGAAAACTTCGAGTAAGTTCCGCCAAGCAAAGAAAAGAGTCTGAAATTAAATGCTCAAGATAAATGTCGAAGCACCATCGATGTGAAAATAAATCACAATCGAAATCTCGAGCATATCTGCAAATCGCGCAATGAACCTGCATAAGACTCAAATCTCAACAAGCAAATGTGAATTGCAAATCTTAAATAATCAGATGATTTCGATTGAATCCAAAAAACTCAAAATCAAAATCTAACAAATTTTATATTTGATTTTATTATTTTTTATCATGTGATGAAAGGTTCATACAAATCTAAACAATTCACAAAATTATTCAAAAGAAAATATTAAAAGAGTAAACTAAGGGGGTGTTATGCTGAAGTCAGGGGGTGCTGAAACAGTCTGACCGCTAGGCCCAAAAATGATTGTCTAGGAGCAGGCATTTTTGGTTCCAACTACCTTAAGTATGCCAAAAACAATAACGGGCTTGGGGGTGTGATCTGGAATTCAGGGTGGTCGGAGCAATCTGGGCGTTAAGGCCCAGCTCAAAAGATCCATAAGCGGATTTTTTGCATGCAAGCATCTATTACCAAAAAAACAACAAATGGGCTCGTGAAGGCAAGAATCGATCCAAGGTCCACCAAATTACTCAGTCCAAATCACCAACACCCTATGCTATTTCTGATTCCCTTAATCACACTTTCAAATCAATTAACCATTAATCACAATTAAACGATCAAAAGGATGAACAAAATATAGAATTCAAGTGTTTAGGGTTAAGAAGTTGTGTGACTCTTGGAGTCTTTATCGTGAATCCTTCCCTGTTTTTGCTAACAGAGGCACCTTGGAGCTTCTTCTTCAATGATGCATTATAGCAGTGTGATCTAGTTCCCCTCTTCTTCGCTGATTCTTCCGCAATGTGCCATCACGTTTCTCCATCAATGACCTCCTTATATCTAAGTGTCACAGTGGTGTTGTCATCATCTATGTCTTGTTCTCCATCTCAATCTTCAACTGCCGTCTCCTACTCATCAATTTTACTTACCATTGTTCATAATTCACCGTGCCCCAATCACCGCCCTCGCTCGCTTCTATCTTCCTGCATCGCGGCTTCAACCTTCGCCTCACCTTCAATTAGGTTCATCATTGTCTTGTTCGGTTTCAACCACTCCATAGAGTCTCAAAACTTCGTCTCAATTCCGGTTTACAGCGGTATTAGAATAACATGAGGAAAACAAGAAGTGATGAAATTAATAACAACTTGCCTACGAAATTGCTCAGAGATTTCACAAATAGAAAACCAGAGAGGAGGCTCTAATGCCAAGCACTTGGTACGAAATTGCTTCTATCTCTTTCTTCTGCTATTTTTTGTCTTCAGTTATTCTGTGCGATGTAACGGAAACCGTTTTGGTTCTGATGTTGCATATTATAATGCGATAATGACGATATCACAGAAGTGATGCTGATTCTACTGATGCAGTAATTGCAGAGTGAGAAGATTAAGATTGTAATGTAGAGAGGATAGTTGCCGAGAATGAAGAGTGAACAATCTTGTGGTGATGATGTAGATGTGGTTACAACTAAAGAAAGATAAAAGATGATTTCTTGATTTTATGGTGGGTGAAGATATATGTACATAAGAGTGGAGCAGAGAGAGATTTGTGGAGACATTAGAGAGTAGATTCTTTGATTCTTCTTCTGTCAATTTCCTGAATGAAAAATGCCTCCGATATCTGGTAATTTTCTGTTATATATAAAAATGTTATTTGGAAAAATAGTTAGTTAGGAAATTGTTAGATGAATGAAAATCAGTTAGGGGTTAGAATTCTATTAGAAAATTGGTTAGCTGTTGAGCTGGAATTTTTGTTAGAACTTTGTTTTGATTTTCCATGTTTTCCTTATCTATTTTCCCTGATATTTTCCTTCTGTTTTATTGAGTTGGATTATTATTTCTGATTTTTTATTTTTATTCTTATTTAGTTGTAGCCTCTCCTTTTCAGACTTATTGGTGAGAAGATAAAGAAAAAATACAGCAAGAACTGGTTTTGGAACCATTTCCAAAATCTCTTCATCCAACCTATAAACATCATCGCACCTAGCTTGATCCTCCGAAAGAATAAGACTAGAAAGGCATTGGTTCATGACATCAGGTTTAGCTTTAAGAGAAAGCCATCTTTTTGAAGAAGTAGTAACCATTCTTTCTGTTTATTCTATTTCCAATTTATAATTTCCTTTCTCATTTCAGTTTCATATGACTTTTGGATTATATTATGGAATAGGCCTTGGTGTTGGTAGAAACCGCGAGTTAAATTGATATAGGGTAAGTCCTTACTAGTTTGAAATTGGTTTATCTGGCTTGGTATAGTAGCAATTAGGTGAACCCTTTTTGGGATTTTAACACATGATCCAAAAGAATGCAGCCTCTTTAGTTACTGCAGGTCTGGAAAAATGTTTTGGTTTTGGCTTCTGAACTGTCTTCAAACTATCGCCACCGCCCGATACTGACTATTAAGGTTTCTAGACACCTTGTCTGATCTAAAATTATGATATACTGCTCGACCGTGTTGAATACTTAGATACCAACTTTAGAAGCATGGATGACTTATCTTCTAATAGCCTCAAAAGAGTGTCAAACTCAGCAACTCGACCATCACTGAGCACTCGAACTTGATCGTTGTCAATATCAATAGGGATAAGATGTGCAATGGTGAGCATAATGCAGGCTTTGAACTCTGTTCAAATAGTCTTGTGGATAAGATTATCAGTGGCGGTGTTGACGAATGCTATTGCTTCATCAAGTACAAGTATTTTTAACTGCTTCAAAAGAACTAAACCATGAGAAACAAATTACGGTCGTCCTACACTCCAATTGTCTCCATTTTCTATAACCTGTGTATCAAGCTTTTCTCCTTTATTGCGGATAATATCTCCTTATTTGAATTTTCAAAGTCTTTCCTCAATTGTGGAACGAACGAGATGTAGTAATCCTTGTTACTTGAATCTTGAATGTAGCATCTTGTGATGCAGTTGTATTTTGATGTCTAAGGTGAAGCATGGAATGTAAATTTTGAAATTATAAATGATAATTGAAGTAAATATTGACTCTTGTACTTTGTATGTTTATTTTTTTGTAATGAAGCTTTTCCAAATGAATTTGATAAAATAGTTTTCCCCCTTTTCAATTCGTATTTCATGTGAATTCTCCAATCTTTCTTTAATCTTGCTATAATTGAATAAACCACTAGATGAAGTCCTCAAAAAGATTTAAGAAGGACTTTGTCAAATGTCAACCTTCCATGGTTCATTTTGACCAAAAATCAAAGTTTTGTCCAATCTTTCAAACTTGAGATGATTCAATAATAACACCATGTGAACTCATATTCACTCTTTGCACGAAATCCACAATACAAATCTTGTAACTCGAGTAAAGGTGAACCAAACCTCAACTAATGGTAGAAAGTATAAACGAAATCCTAATGAGACGAATCCGCATGATGGTAATAGTCAGCCCATAAGACCCTAAAATCCACTCGAGCAATGAGTAATATCCATTGAATGATGAGATTCATTGATGAACCAAAGCTTTATAAGGAAATATTTTGACTACCACATGATCAGAGAAATAAGCCCTAATTCAATTATCTTTGAGTCTTTAAGCCTTAAGTTGGAGCCAGACCCTTCCTTGAGGAAATTCCTCGACTCAGGTGAAACTAGAGAAGCATAGCCTGACATCCATATGATAGAAACCCTAATTTCTGGAATTGAAAAAACTCGGTGGAGATTGGCCTTAAGGATTCGCGAAGAAGAGATTCTTAATGACCACAAACCACTACCATAATTCCACTGTTCAATGTTTGAAGAAGAAATAAGCCTTTATTGGATACAAACGCCTTGACCAGTGTAAAACCCTAACATCGCACAACCACTAAGCTTTGAACCACAAAGTTATATTGAATGAAATGATGCCATATTAGTGACCTAATGGAATATACGCAGATGAATTCAAAAGTCTAAGTAAAATGAAAGAAATTATGAGGGCAAATTTTGGGGTGCAACAACTGCCCCTATTTAATCGCCTTTAACCTGGAGGTGAGATTGGCGCTAGCCTTTCGAACATTCAAGGTGGAAGAAGATTAAATACTAAAAGAATCCGAAAATTTGCACTCCGAAGCCATTCAGGTATTATTATATTTTTTGGTTTTCTGAATTTTTTTTTAATTTTTTGCTTTTTTGGATTGCAGTAGTTATTTGAGTAAATCTCTTGGATGTTGAGTCAAGGTTAGACATACACAAGATAGAGACCGACTGAAGAAGGCTTTTACAAAGGGACGCCAGTCGAAGACGAACTTACTGGGGATACAAATATACATTAACTCTGAATTGAACACCAGTTGAAGGCGAACTTTACCAACAAAAAGGAGTACCAGGCGGATGTAAACCTAAGACGGAAAGACACCGTGCAAAGGTGAATTGTAGAGAATAGATAACATCGAGCGAAGATGAACCTTAACCAACAAAAAGGGACACCGGGCGAAGGTGAATCTAAGACGGAAAGACATCGGGTGAAGGTAAACTTACTGGAGAAAAGAGAACGTCAGGCGAAGAAGAACCCTAACCAACAAAAAGGGACACCGGGCTAAGGTGAACCTAAGACAGAAAGACACCGGGCGAAGGTGAACTTACCAAGGAAAAAGAACGTCGGGCGAAGACGAACCTTAACCAATAAAAAGGGACACCGGGCTAAGGTGAACCTAAAATGGAAAGACACCGGGTGAAGGTGAACTTACCGAAGGAAAGAGAACAACAGGTGAAGACGAACCTTAACAAAAAAAAAGGGACACCGGGAGAAGGTGAACCTAAGATTGAAATACACAGGGTGAAGGTGAATTCCAGAGAAAAGAGAATGTCAGGTGAAGAAGAACCTTAACAAAAAAAAGGGACAGCAGGCGAAGGTGAACCTAGGATTGAAAGACACCGGACGAAGGTGAGTTCCAGAGAAAAGGGAACGTCGGGCAAAGAAGAACCTTAACCAACAAAAAGGGACACCAGGCGAAGGTGAACCCAAGATGGAAAGACACCGGGCGAAGGTGAATTCCAGAGAAAAGAGAACGTTGGGTGAAGACGAACCTTTACCAACAAAAAGGGACATCGAGCGAAGGAGAACCTAAGATGGAAAGACACTGGGAGAAGGTGAATTCCAGAGAAAAGAGAACGTCGGGCGAAGCCGAACCTTAACAAAAAAAAGGGACACTGGGCGAAGGTGAACCTAAGATGGAAAGACACCGGGAGAAGGTGAATTCCAGAGAAAAGAGAACGTCAGACGAAGATGAACCTTAACAAAAAAAAGGGACACCGGGAGAAGGTGAACCTAAGATGGAAAGACACCGGGCGAAGGTGAACTTATCAGAGAAAACAGAAAGTCGGGCGAAGACGAACCTTAACCAACAAAAAGGGACATCGGGCGAAGGTGAACCTAAGACGGAAAGACACCGAGCGAAGGTGAACTTACTGGAGAAAAGAGAATGTCGGGCGAAGACGAACCTTAAAATGAAGAAAGACCAATTGAAGGGGACTCTAAACAAGGATTGCCAACTCGCGTTAGGCTTTAAGAGTTGTGAATATGCAAGAACTACAAAATCCCTCAGGCCAAAGGCAGGGTGTAATTCTTCAAGAGTGGAAATTATCTGAATCACCACACATCGAGTATGAGTACTCAAATACCTGAGAAGCAAGAAAGGCTATACACCGACACTTACTTGCACTCTAACAGTAAAGAAAACACGGGTAAAATAATCAAAGGCTTGCAAGGGAAAGAGAAAACCACGACTTACTGGAGAAATGGAGAAATACCAAAGACCCGACTGGTGGTAAGTCAAACAGACTCCGCTGGGGAAATAGAATATAATCACCCTAAGCTTCTTGTGGAGATAATTCAAATCTGAGTGCGTAACAATTTAGTCACCACAGGTAAACATAATTGGCTTATACTCATGCATGTTTGAATTTATTTTTATAGCGTAATGCTCCATACAATAGAAATGCTACGCGTTTTGGTAGATGCAATGTAATGATGCATGTTTAGTAATGCACTGGGGAAATTACATCAATAATTGGCTCCTGAGAAGAAAATGAACCTCCGAACGATTATTTTTTCACATCTGATCTTCAGTAGAGAAAAGGAAATCTGAACTTCGATGGGGAACCAGGACCCTGAACCACCAACCTCTAAAGATTGAAATCACATGGGAGTAACTTCCTGGAGAGAATACTACAAAAATAAATTGTAGTTCAGTGAAAATCTTGAATTTTGATCAAACTCCAACCTCCCGGGGAACAAAATCTTTATCCTCTGTTAGAAAGAGGAGAGCTTCGTCGGGGATGGAAAATTTTCCCGCATAGAATTTCTTGACAAAGATAGCTTCTACTATGGAGTATAGAAATTCTTAAATAAAAAGAATTCTACTCAGATAACACCGCCAGGGG